CGAGGAATGGGCAAACGTGGTTGATCATTGCTCGAAATATGAGGATGCGTATATTCATAAAGAACACTTAATGGATGGATATACAGATTCCTTGATATTTAATGTAAATACAGAATCATTTGACGAGTGGGATTTAGAATCGTCGGATATTGAAAATTGAAATAGATAATCACAAATATATTTATTATCAAGTAAAATTTTCAGTTGTTTTATTAATTTACAGCTTATTAAAAATGTTACAGACAATAGTCGAAATTCTGACTAATACTTTTCATTTACGAGTATTTCAGATTTAAAATATTTTATAAATGTACACACGCCACTGCTAAAAAAAGCACTGGTTACCAGGTACCCCTACAGTAAGCGATTTTAGATCAACGTCGTCAAATAAGTTCCTCCTGGCTGCGCGAAATTAAACATTTTGTTACGCAATATACTCTTCGGATAGTAATCGAGCTCTATAATGATCCTTCCTATATGCAGCATTTATCCTAGACGGTGTTGTTTCAGTTTGTTAAATTCAGCTAAAAGAATACGTTGTTTTGTTGCGAGTTTACTTATATATTATGTATTATAACCTCACCTCTAAATGAATTATTAACGATGCCAATTTCAATGAATTTGAGCAACATTTTAATTTATTATTATTGTTGTCTGGTTCCGATTGCCGGGTAATGGAAATTTCACAGTGGGCGTGTTGAAGACGCGATTCGCATTCGTTTTAATTGTAGATTTGTGATGTTCGGTACGCGCTTAGAACAGAACAGAAAGTTGACAGAACCCGTTCGGTTTATCAAAACTTTCGGATTAGAGAATTCAAAATAAATGATATGTATAATCCGAACACGTTCGGTTTATAGAAACATTTCTAAACCGTACAAATACATTTTTACCACAAAAAGTCCACGTACTGAATGGCTATAAAAACTTTTATGTTATACAGAAATACATACATTTATACACAATAGGTTCTTTCGTTCGCTATTGGTGTAGTGTCCATCAGTGTAAATTACACCAGTTACACCACCTTATTTACCCTAATTTACTTCCTCCTTATTCCTTATACACATTGTCAAGTGTAATTCACTCCTGCTAAATAGCTGGTGGAGAAAATATCCACCAGTGTACACCACATCGCCGTCAGTAAGGTATAGTGGGTTTTACACCGGACCAAACGAAAGGTATGGGTGTGGGTTGGTGTAATTCATTACTACACCCAACTACACCAGTGGGACGAACGAAAGAACCTACTATAACGTATGTATTTCAAAGTGAAAATAAACTTCTAAGAAAGAGGAACACCATACAATACATTATATAATATGTACTATAGTACATAAGTATACATAAGTACAGGCATATTGCAAATACGAAAAATACAGTAAACGTTTAAATAAGAACAATAATAATTAAGATTTTTGAAGAATCCAATTGGCTAAACATTTCATTGTCTCTTAATTGTTTCTTTGAACAAAATTGTCAAGAGTACTTTGAACAGATTTCTTGATGCTTAGATCGACAGCCTTCTGTCGAATTCTTCTTAGAAGAATCACTTCATGCAGTGGCAATGTATTTTCTGCCGCCCATTTTAGACATGAATTAAATGACATGACCGCCTCTTTACAGGATATTTTCTGAATAGGTTCGTCTTCGTCATCGGAGTTCTGATTTTGTTCTGTGACGTTAGCTATGATTTCATCATCTTCTAAGATTTCTATATCCAAATTTTCCTCGTCATCACCTCTTGCCCATTTTTCAACTTCTATTTTATCCATCGGATTATCAGCAGGATTCACTCTGTTCACTAACTCCACTAGATCAGGTCCTCCATCAAGCCATTCTTCTCTTAAGTCACTCAACGGTATCAGATCATCTGCATTCCATTCATCCATGTTACTGTCCTTAATAAGTTGATACAATGCCTTTTTTACTAATTTTTCAGGCACTTGCTTCCAAGATTCGGCTAGCGCAAACACAGCATCTTTCAGCGACACATTTTTCAAACATCGCGCAATGTTTTCACCCTTCTTGTAAAAGCACCTCTTGCAGCAATCTTTTCCGATATGTAACTTTTACATTTTTGATCACATTCTGGTCCATCGGCTGAATCAGTTCGGGACAATTGGGTGGTAGAAACATTACTTGAATATTACCATCATGGCTGACTAGTTCTTGGTCTGGTCTGTGAGCTGAAGCATTATCCAATACCAAAAGAGCTTTCTCTTCAAGATTGCTGTAGATTTGCTCTGTAGAAAGACCGAATTGCTCAATTTTTCGTTTCAGTTTAATACGAAAAGGTTCCACGGCATTTTCGTCACTCGACAGCTTCTCCCCGGTAAATTTCAACGAGCGGATTCCAAATCTGTGCTTTAAGCCTTGGAACCATCCTCTACTACCTTCAAACTTCACTTCTTCGCCATAATTTATTTCTGTGAAAAATTGGCGAGCCTTCTCGAGTATGATTGCTTCGGAAATCGGTGCATGTCGCGCTCTCTGTTGTAAAAACCATGTATATACTGCATCTTCAACATCAGAAAATTCCGCACGGCGCATAGTTTTCCTTGTTCCCGGCCCTTTGTTAGTTTGCGACACATTACCAAGAATTACGTTCTTCTACCAACATTAAAGCGTGCTGCCAAGGACATGAATGAACATCCAGACTCCAACTGGCGTAAAATGTCAGTCTTTTTTTCGAGGGTTAATGTGACATGCTTACGTTTAGAAGCCATGGTTTACATAATACATAGGTATGTATGTACACATACACAAAACAACCAAACTGCGTGACGATAAAATTCACAAAACAACTAAACAGCTTGGCAAACTAACTCGAAGAAGAAATATGTTGCATCATCGCACGTACATGTATAGTTCGGATTGCAGAATTCAAGGTATTCAGATTATGGATATCATTTGACGCAATTCGGGCGTTCGGATTATAGAGTATTTCGGATTAAGGAGGGGGGGGGGTTCGGACTAGCCATACTTTACTGTACCTCTATACAGCATCGGTGTATATGAGAAAAGCATTAATGCATACTAAGCTTAAAGAAAATTGTGAATGTAATAGTATGCAGTAGCGCTGCCTCTATATTTCACGCACGGTTCCTATATGAAGCTGATATGTTAGCAGAAAAATATGGACATAAGGTACTTCGACTACCTCCTTACCATTGTATATTCGACTCTATTAAACATATTTGAGGCATCACTAAAAAATAATATAGCAATAATAGCTTTGTTCGCGGTAAGAATCCTGAACCGAATTATTACTAACAGTAACAATTTCGCAGGCGCAGTAGTTAAACAGCGTTCGCGGAACAAAACGAACTGAACTATTGGTTCTATCCTGCGTTCGCGATAAAATAATTGTTGGTTTTGAACCGCTTGTCTATACCTGAAATACCGAGATATAATAGGGATTGCGCGCGCGGTAAAAATTCAGAATTGATAATGATTCGGGCATGCGCTCAAAGTATGAATTAGTAATTCTGAATGAGTTCAGGATTGTTACCGCGAACGAATCTAATGTGGGAAAGGATTGTACTTCAGCAGAAAAGGCACTAGTTGCGTGGAAATAAGCTTTAGAAAAAGTAACTCCTGATATTTGGCTGAAAACAGTTCAACACTGAAAAAATAATATAGTTCTTTTTTACACCCATTCCAATCTTCAATCAAGTTATAAAATTAATAGCACTTTAAAGTTGATAGCTCATTAGATGCACTTATATTCAAGTTAGGAAAAAAGAAAGAACACTGTCACAAAGTTATCTATATTTTCATTTGTTGTGTTTCGCCCTTTTTAATCTAATATCACAACTTTCCATTAACAACTTTCTGTTGTCGAGGGTCTTTTTCAACTGCAACCTCTTTTACTACTTTGTTTAATGTGTGCCAAAGTCTACTTGAGTACCTTGGCCTTTTCTAAAAACGACATGCATACTAGGTCGTTGTTTATCAATTGCTGAAAAAATATTACCTAATTCTCTCTCCCTCTCCTTATGAAATATTACTTTTTGTTTGTCCCGCACGATTTTTTGGAGTGGAGAGAAGAAGGTATACTACCTACCAGATTTAACAGAGGCTTTTTCCTTTTTAATTTTTTGATGAATAAATTAACGAGCTCTACAGTCATGTAATGGTATTTGAATTCCATTTTTTCATAAATTTAATTACATTAGCTATGATTTCTTTAAGTTTTGTTCAACTTCTATCTACGCTCTATTCACAATTCATTTTTTATGTTTAAAACTTTAACAATTTAGTAGGTTTCTCTAGCATATATAGTTACTATACAATTAAATATCAAAGTTCGAACAAAAAGACCCCCCCCCCCTGTTTTTCTTGTAGCGGCGAAGCCGGTGTGCTACGTCATTGGCGCCGATTGTCTGCTAGTATATGTAGTAAATATTACGCCTTTGCTGTTGATAATAACTACACCAAATTAAAGTACCTATTCGTGTGCCAAAGGGAGAGAAAACACGGAAACAGTGGTATAATGCAATGAAGAGAGACAATAAAATAAACAAAGTTTTGTCGAGTAGGTATATGTTATCAGTTTTGTTGTGAAGATCATTTTTAGGTAAGTTAATTTGAAATTAATTAAGGTACCTATTACTATATATAATTTACACGTACATTTAAATATCGTTTGGGAATCAAGCGGTTAGTGATGTGTTAAGTATATCCAGATTTAGATCACATTCAATACCAGCATGTCTTTTGGTTTGTTTTTAGAGCGAACGACGTGACCTGGTATAATGACATACGTTTCTCAAATAATAAAAATGATGTTCTTACTATTCAGAATTAACTAGAACAACAGTAATATGTATTGTAGAATCGCCTTCAGAAGTATGCAAGAAGAAATTAGGTATATGATTTGTTTTAATGGATGTACCTATTACAATCGTCTTTAAATAGACTTATGGCCCTTCGGTCCAAATAAGCATATCATTAAATTAAAAATATTTTTAATTATAGACGGCAAATTCACTTACACTGCAATTGTTAGGGGGAACCAATAATTGGGTGATCTCTCCGGCATGGACACAAAACCGGTGTAGTAAAGTTCCCGCATATAAATCCCATAAACAAACTGCAAAATCCACACCACCCGATACTAAATGGTTCTTGTCATATCTTGAATGCTCTCTGTGTGGATACAGTAGACAGTTCACTCTACCTCCGTGACCTGATAGGATCTGATGTTGGGGCCATCCTGAAAATTATAGACAATTCTGAAACTATTAGCAAATTATAGTAACAATATTTTAAGGATATCAAAATCACGTAAACAAATGCCGTGTCAAGGCTGAAACACAAAAAAATGATTTTATGCCACAAGGAATGTTCTGTTTTATGAAATATGGATTTAACAGTATATTTCTATGTATTAAGAAAGAAGGAATACGCTAAATTAGCGTGACGTCAGTGAGTCAAACAAAAAATAAACCGTTCTGTCATTGATTTTATCGCAAAGTTTTGAGTTTTTTTTTTAATATATTAGAAATATAAATATTAGCAAGTTACATTACTGTTTATACACATTGTATATTGTTTCAAGGGCGTAAAAAAGTAGTTTAAGGCAGTTGAAAACTAACCTGATCAGAGGTGAGAACCGTTACATATCTTCGAAACCAACCATTGTTTAATAAAGTACTTTACTCGAAACTATTTTCTCTAAATGCTACCCGTTTCCGCTAGCGAAGGTAAGGCCCCCTTATTCTCTAAAAAGCGTTTTTGAAAGCATTCAGCCCTTCTCTCTAGAAACACGACAAACAACTAACAAAAGTGTAAAGCACAAACGTTCTGGTATTCTCTACTTGCTGTGATGTTTGTATTTGAAAGAAGTAAAGCGCTTTCAAAAAAGTTAAACAAGAGTAGCGTTTTGCTGTTCGCACTTCAAGTTTTGACATTTAAAGCTAAGATTTTCAGACGTAGATAAGTCAAACATTAAAGTATGGACCTAAATATTATGATTTAAGAGAAAACTAGAAAATTGACAGCATAATTTTAGGCAAATTTTAGGATAATTCTATACCCCGGTGAATGACATTTTCAACTCTTTTTAAAATATGGCACCAATAACAGCATAGTATGTAAAAAATCCACTAGATGTCGGTTGAAGATGAAGTACCTCAAATGAAAACAAATAATGACTGCGAACTGTCAGAAAAATTCTGGTAATTTTATCTTAATCGAGTAAAAAATACGTCTATATCCAATTTTTTTTTTAAATAATGGTAATTTATTAATGTCTACTAATAATATTCTATATAACAAACGATATGGAAAGTGAAAATGAGAAAAAATAGTATATTACATTACGAGTGTGGAAAGTGACATTTTTCACACGAGTGGGAAATATTGTCGCACGAGGCGTAAGCCGAGTGCGACTATCACACGAGTGTGGAAAATCACTTTTCACACAAGTGATGTACAATATTTTTCCTACGACCACAAAATAATTTCATCAAAAAATGTAAAACCAGATTATTATAATAATTAAAATGTATTTAAAAAAATAATCAACAATAATCGTATTTATTAAATTTTCATAATTTCTAAACAAATAAAAAAAATAAAAAAAAAAAATAAAAAAAAAATTCTGGCACAGCCAGGATTCGATCGCGGTCGTTGGACGGTCTCAAATTGCAAAGTTGATGCTCTAACCAACTGAGCTAACAGGCCTTACGGTAATTGATTGATCTAATCGCTTATGTGTTTAACCAGAATAAAAAGCAAATATATCTTAGTTATTTTAAAATTATTTTAAAAATAATTGTTAAAGATAAATATCTAGGATCTAATTTACAATAATTTAACAATCATATCGATTTTAGTATTAATATGGACATTACATAGATCAAAATAGAAATTATGTGTTTGACATTTTCTGACAGCTACTGCGGAAAGTAGCATATTCTCACTTGGGTGGAAAGTAAATTCTTATTCATACGCGTGTGATATAGGGCACTTTCCATAGGTCTATATAGTGTGATATGTGTCACTTTCCTAAGTGGTCGTAGGAAAAATACTATACCACATACCACCCATATATTTCATCAAAACAAAGTGAGAACATTACTATTTTTTATCATTTTTAGTGTACAAGACAGCAATAATTAAATAAGAAAAATAGTGTGTATTCTTTCCTACAAAATTGTAAATATTGTTGAAATGGGTTTTCAAAAAATAAGTGTTAAGTGCCATTTTGATGTTATGTTTACAGAAGAGTAGGTATAAAATTATAACTGCCACATTTTAGATTTAATAAACACATTCCAAAGATACATGCTTATTTTGTTACCAGTCCTAAACAATTTCGCATGGAGGGATCTCCTAATTGTAATAAAATGTGGTTCTTACAAGGCAAATTGATGAAAAGGGTAGGTACAAAAATGATCTGTAAACCTTAATTACCTATATGAATAAGTGGTGTAATAAACTTTTTATTAAATATAAACGCAGAGGATTGTTTTCAATAGATTCATTAACTTATACAACTTTAATTATTTACAAAATAAATCAAAGGTTTGTAGGTGTATCTACACACACATTGATAAAGAAAAACGAAGGAAAAGTAGGTCTTTTCAACTGTGGAAATTTTATTAGTACCTATCAGCCAAGAGCTTGCATTATAAATGTAAAAAAAGAACAAATTATTAATCATTCCATTCTTGTTTACATTTATAATGCGCTAGTTCAGTGATGATGTAATTATGGTTCCACTGACAATTAAAGTGACAGTAGATTTTTTTAGTGCGTTTTGTTCGTTTTGTTTTACCTAAATTATATCGTTTTTTCACTTTTATAACTATATTCCTAAAGTAAGTAGATAATATGCATCAAATATACAATCGTTTAGTTACCATTACATACCTTTAAACTATTTTTTATGGCCTGTAAACAATATTTTGAAATAAAATAAAAACAGTAAAAACGTATATGTCAAATTTATTGATGTTTTTGTTAAAAGTTTGGTTAGAATTAAATGTCAGTGGAACCAAAATGACATCACACTGAACTAGCGCATATACGGATGATGTCTTAACAGTCAAACTGCTAATTCTAATAAAATGTACACATATACACATTTAAATAATTGAAAATACCTTTATTCGTCTCTTTTCTTTATCTACAAAATAATATAAAAGCTTATAACAGCAATTACTATCGTCTTTATTATTTTATTTCTACTTTGTCCAATTAACTATATCTAAATTAAAATTTGACAGGTACATCATTCATATCTAAGATCAACAATAACTAGACTAGATAATAACTAGACCTCAACCATGATGAAAAAAGCATTACTTTAAACTAACTTTAATAAATAATATTGCAAAATTATTAGTAGTTATAAATAAAATACAATTATATTTGTTCGTAAATATAGTATATGACATGCTGCGTGAACATTAGTACAATAACCTGTCAAATGATTGACCAATCATCTGATGCCCAAATCTTGAAGTTGGATACATGTTGATGTTAAAATATACTTTATCTAGCTCTTAATGATCAATATATGATCGAATCGGGTACCTCACCTTTTAACGACCTCTGGTGAATTTTTTGGAACTACGTTGTGTTTGGTGCCATATCGTCTTTTGTTTTTATATGGGATTTTAGGGAAGTTGAAACATCTATTGTCTTTCATCGTGTTCTATACCAACATAACAAAATTTTTACTCTGGCCTTTATAGGAAAAATTAGGTGCTCTGCTAGCTTGGCAATACGAGTTTATAGTTTTTCGTTAATAAAATTGAAGAATCTAAAAATGGAAAGGGCGTAATTTTAGGCTAATTCTATAATAACAAAAACATTTCGTCTCTTACCTTTATCGGAAAAATTAGGTGCTATGCTGGCTTGACAATACGAGTTTATAGTTTTCCTTTCAAAAAATTGAGGAAACCAAACAAGTTATAAAAGTAATTTTGAAAAATCGACTTCAAAATCGAGCAATATCGACTTAAAAATTGAGATTTGAACTGTCAGAGTAAACGAGAAAACGCAATACACCTGACAATGGCCCTTCGAAGAGATTAAACATGCGATACGGCCACGAACACTTGAAGCAGGTGTACCGCTTACAGTTAAAGACCCGCAAACAAAAACGTGACGAGAGCCTTCAAGAATACGAATTAGATATTAGTCCAATTAAATAGACCTTTAAATCAAAATTTTGGAGGAAATACAGGAATTTTTGACATAAGTCACTTTAGAGTATTTGAAAACGATATGTAAAAAAAAATTGTTTTTCAGGCACCGGCAAATGTCAAAAAACAAGAAAATAAAGTGTTTTTTAAGGTTATTTAAAAACGGCAGGTGCTATAAAAAAAGTTTTTAATAAAAATTCTAAATCATAAAGTTTTACATAAAAATGATATTTGATATTTTTTGCTATTATTAAAACTGACAGTTAGGGTGGTTAGAAATTAGGAGGAGATATATATGACTTGGAAAAATCATAGCAAGCTGAAAATTCAATGACTTTGTAGTTTCTTTTTATTATTTACTCAGAAAATTATAAATTTCTTTTAAGAAAATATTTTGTTTTTGAGTTATAACAATTTTAATTTAAAAATTTTCAATATATTATACGAATTTATATGGTAAAAAAAATTTTGAAGTAAACTTATTAGCTTGACTGACATAAAAAAATATGGGGAATGAACTAATAAAAACGACATCCCGACAGTTTGGTCCCCACTTAAAGTTCCATTAAATAAATAAAAATAAAAACAAACAAAAAAGAACTAAATAAAAATAAATATAAATAATTAATAAATACAAATAGGTAAATTAAAAAAAAAATTGAAAATAAGTAAATAAAAAGATAAAAGTAAAAGAAAATAAATACAAATAAATAAAAATAATAAAAAAAAATCAAAATTTAAATAAATAAAAATAATAACAATTAAATAAAAATAGGTAAATTATTAAATAAAAATAAATGAGAAAATAAGTGTAAAAGAAAATGAATAAAAATAATAAAATAAATATAAATAAAAATAATTAAAAAAGTGAAAAACTAAAATTAAAAAAATTATAAAAAATAAATAAAAACAAATAGAAAAAATGAAAATATAATTTGAAAAAATATTTTTTATTTTTATTTACTTTCTTTTACATTTATCTTTTTATTTATTTTTATTTATTTTTTTTACACTTATCTTTTCATTTATTTTTGTTTAATTTTATTTATTTTTATGT